CACCCAGCTGGCTTTCATGTCCAAAAGCAGGATTAGAACCAAAAACTAGAAGTTTGAAAAGTGAATTCCAGATGGGCTGGAAATCGAAGGAACAACATTTTTCATGTCCTCCTTCCTTGCAGTCAACCTACTCCTAGAAAGAATCTGCCGCCATGCGCTGAAAGACAGGCAACGGAGACCCCTCCGGGCGCTTCCCCACAAGGCTCCAGAGACCCCCGCTTGCAAAGGGGGGCTTAAGCCAGCCAAGCGCTGCCGAGTTACCTCCACTCCGGATAGGTAGGAAAACGGGAGGCGAGAATGCACCGGTTGTAATTTTCGTAAACTTCTAGAGTTTGTTGCTGAACTGCCTGCTCCGTCGCCCGTATAAGTCAGCCTTAGCATTGGCACTGAAAGAATTCTATGGCCTTGTGGTTGTAACCGTTCAGTTTGCGTCCGACTCTTGGGAGATTTTACAAGCCAGGGCTCTCCATGCTGCCCTGGGAAGGCTGGTTTGTTTCAGTTGTTGGGTGTCCATTAGAGTCCTTGGATATGAGATGGGTGACAAATAAATTTGATAGGATGGATGGATGGATGGATGGATGGATGGATGGATGGATGGATGGATGGATGGATAGAGAGATAGAGATAGAGATAGAGAGATAGAGAGATAGGTAGAGAGAACAGCTAGATAGGTAGGTAGGTAGATGGATGAGAGAGAGAGAGAGAGAGAGATGATAGGGAGAGAGTTGATATATGATAGGGAGAGAGAGATAAATGATAGAGATAGAGTGATAGAAAGTGATAGACAGAGTGATAGATAAAAGATGGATAGGAAAGACAGATGAGATGGGTAAATGAATGATGGACAGATAGATGAAATAAGAGATACATAGATTAGATAGATAGAATACACACACACACATAGATATAGATGATATAGATAGATGAAAGGCATAGACAGACTAAATAAATGATTCATAGATTATACAAATAGACAGTTAAATAGAAATGAATGGATGATAGATAGATGGATAGATAGATGATAGCTAAATGATATATGATAGCTAAATGATAGATGATAGATAGATAGATAGATAGATAGATAGATAGATAGATAGATAGATAGATAGATAATAGATAATAGATAATAGATTCAGTTCTTTTTCAGAAGAAGCTTCTTAGATGAGGAAAACACCTTCAAGGAAAAACAAAGTCCTGTTGTCTTTTGAAAAAGCATCTTTGGGACAATTCTACTGCAAGCTTCTGAAAAATTGGTCTGCCACTTAAAACGATGGGTGATATTTTCCAAGCTGCTTGCAAAAATCCTGGAAATGCAGCAACCGAAACCCGTTCTTAGTTCCCCTTTGTCTTTGTTCCTCTTTGCAGAGAAGATGAGGTGGGCCTCCTGGATGAACTGGAGAAGCTGGAAGAGGTGAGCTACCTGTCAGGTGAGCAAGTCTGCTGGGATGGAGGTGCGGACTGAGGGTCTTTAGGGGGTTGGGGTGGGGTGGGGTGGGGGGCTGAGAGGTGCTCTCAGGACAGTTGTGACCAGCAAGTTAGCCGCAAAGGTTTGACATGCAAAATGGCATTTTAGTGATTCGTGCAGAACTATTGTTACTTTCATAGAGCTGGTGGTGGCTTAGTGGTTAGAATGCAGTATTGCAGGCTAATTCTGCCTATTGGCAGGAGTTCGATCCTTGATTTGATTTGATTTGATTTATTTGATTTGTCAATCGCTTACAAAATAATAGGTATAAGTATATACATAGTTATGAATACATGAAATGGGTACATATAAGAAAAATAAAAGAAACAATAGGACAGGGACAGTAGGCACGTTGGTGCGCTTATGCACGCCCCCTACAGACCTCTTAGGAAAGGGGTGAGGTCAATAGTAGACAGTCTAAGGTTAAAGTTTGGGGGGTTTGGGGAAGAAACACAGAGTCAGGTAGAGTATTCTAGACATTGACCACTCTGTTGCTGAAGTCATATTTCCTGCAATCAAGTTTGGTGCGGTTAACCTTGAGTTTGTATCTATTGTGTGCTCTTGTGTTGTTATGGTTGAAGCTGAAGTATTCATTGACAGGTAAGTGTGTATGATTTTATATACCATCCTTAGATCAAACCGAAGATGGCGTAATTCAAGGTTTTCTAGGTCTAGAATTTCAAGTCTGGTGGCATAAGGTATTCTACGAGTAGAGGAGTGGAGAACTCTTCTTGTGAAATATTTCTGGACTTTCTCAACTCTGCTAATATCAGATATGTAATATGGGTTCCAGACTGATGAGCTGTATTCGAGTATTGGTCTAGCAAATGTTTTGTATGCTCTAGTTAGTAGTGTGATATTACCAGAGAAAAAGCTACGTAGGATTAAGTTAACTTAATGCCTTTTTGGTTATGTAGTTACAGTGGGCTCTAGCACTTAGATCATTTGAGATGAGTACTCCAAGATCCTTGACAGAGTTTGGATCATCAACAAGGTCTTGACTATTCAGCTTGTATTTTATTTTCTGATTTTCTTTGCCAATATGTAAGACAGAGCATTTATTTGTTGAGATTTGAAGTTGCCATTTGTTTGATCATTCTGATACATAGTCAAGATCTTTTTGAAGGGTAGCAGTATTGTCTGTGGTATTGAACAGCTTTACATCATCAGCGAAAAGAATGCAGTTGCTCTTAATATGATCACAGAGGTCATTTATGTAGAGCATGAAGAGAGTTGGTCCTAGAACACTGCCTTGGGGGACACCACTGTTGACAGGTACAGAATTTGATAGGACACTCCCAATTTTGACCATTTGTTGTCTGTTTGACAGGAATGCTTCTATCCAGTTATTCAGTTGTCCAGAGATACCATAGGATTTTATTTTTAGGAGTAGTTTGTCGTGTACCACTGAATCAAAGGCTTTACAGAAGTCTATGTAGATTGCTTCTATTGTTTTGCCCTGATCGAGTTGTGTAGTCCTTATGTTTTTGCAGTGTAAGAGTTGAAGATTACAGGATAGTTTTTTCCTGAAACCAAATTGTTTATTGGAGAGTAGGTTGTTTGTCTCTAAGTGGAGGATAATGGATTGGTTAATAATTGATTCCATGACTTTACAGGGGATGCAGCATAAGGAGATTGGTCTGTAATTTTCAACTAGGCTGAGGTCTCCCTTTTTGAAGATGGGGATGACTGTGGCTTGTGACCATAGGTTAGGCAAGGAGCTGGTCCTGAAAGATTTTTCAAAGATTATAGTTAGAGGTTCGGCTACGGCAGTGGATAGCTTTTTTAAGAAATAGGCACATATTCCGTCCGGTCCAATAGATAGAGATGGTTTTAGATTGCGTAGTGCTTTTTCAACACTGTCTTCTGTAAAATCAATATGTATTAGATCATTGTAGATGTCTGTGGTTCGGTTAGGAAATATTGGGCATGATCCATTGCTGTTTACAAATACTGAGCCAAAGAATGTGTTAAAGATGTTGGCTTTAATGGTGTTGTCGTTGCAATCTTTACCATCAGGTCCTATCAAGGGAGGGATGGACCTTGAGTCTTTTAGTTTGTTGTTTACAAAATTGTAAAAAGCACGGGTGGAATTGGTGCTTAGAAGGTTTTCCTCTTGTTTAATGTGATAATTGGTGCATTCGGTCTTTATCTGGTGGCATAAATTTTTGTATTGGCTTTTGAAATTGGCAATGTGACCAGATTTGTTTTTCCGCCAGAATGATCTCTTTTTGGATTGAAGTTTCCTTATTGTTATGGGTAATCTGCTTTTTTGTTTTGTTTTGGGAGTTGTTGTTGGTACATATAGTTTGATGACTCTTTTGACTTCAAGTAAAAATATGTTGTAATGGTCTTCAACAGTATTGCATCCAGTGAATAGAGATTGCCAATCAAGGGATGAGAGATCGTTGTCTATAAGATCATAGTTGCCTTTTTTGAAGTTACAATTGGGGATTACATCATTGTGGTGATTTTTGAGTGGGCGTATGTTGAGACAAAAGTCAATCATATTGTGGTCACTGCTGGAAAAGGGTTCTTTAGTTTGTATTCCGTAAATTAAATTCAAACTATTGCAGAAGATGAGATCGAGGCAGTTTTTTAGTCTAGTGTTGTTGGTTACTAGTTGTTCCAGTCCCAGATTTGTAATAGCATTGTAGAAGGTTGTACATTCATTTAGGGTCCAGTCAATATGAGGTAGATTGAAATCACCAAGAAAGATAAAAGGGTATGGGCAGGATGCAGCCCATGTTAGTAATGTATTTAGCGTGTTTACATGTTCGATGTCATAATCAGGTGCTCTGTAACATAGTAAGAATCGAAATGTGATATTTAAGGATAGTTCACAGATGATGGTCTCAGGAAGGGCAAGCTCCTGGGTAACTTGGATATTTTTTAGATGTAGGGACTTTTTATAGAAGATAGCAACACCACCTCCTCTACGGATTTAACGATCTGATCGGTAAACATGATAGTCTCTTACTGATGGGCTTACTCTTACTTGATCCTGATAGGCTCAAGGTCGACTCAGCCTTCCCCAGGTGGGTAAAATGAGGACCCAGATGGTTGGGGGCAAGAGACTGACTCTGTAAACCGGTTACAGAGGGTTATAAAAGCACTGTGAAGCGGTATATAAGATTTATTGCTAGGTTTGAAGGAAGGGAAGGGAAGGGAAGGGAAAGGAAGGAAAGTTGGAAAGAAAGGAAAGAAGGAAAGAAAGGAAGGAAAGAAAGAAAGGAAGGAAGGAAGGTCCATTTTTCACCATCGTAGCTTCTCAACAGGATCACTTGATCAAAATTCCGACGCTTGGCAACTGACTCATATGTATGACGGTTGCAGCGTCCCGGGATGAACCGATCCCCTTTTGCGACCCTTGGGCAAGCAAAGTCCTTGGGGAGGCCAGATTCACTTTACAACCAGGTGACTAACTGATGTTACCTAGCTGGGTAATGAAACGTCTGCAACAAAAACCACCCAACTCAGAGAGCCGCAAGGACCCCACAGTTCTCCTCCTCCTCCTCCTCTCCGCACACCCCTCTCCCTCTAGCACGGATGACGTTACCGAACTGGGTAATGAAACGTCTGCAAGAAACTCGTTCGGTTCCTGGAACGCCAAGGAAAAGAATCCCCCCCCCCCCCCGTTTGTCTTTTGCAGATGGGTTCCCTCTGAAAAAAGACGACCTGCCCAAAGACGGGCACCTCCTTACTTCCACCCAGGGAAGCGGACAGGAGACCAGAGCACCCGGCCTCTCCTCCCCTGGCTCGGCTTTGCGCCGTCTGAATTTGAGCCGTGGCAACAAACCAGAGGTAACCCAGCGGTTGGAGCATGGAGCGTCTGAGAAGGGTCGCTCTTCATTGAGGTTTTTTTGGGGGGGATGCAGGCCAGGTTCTCAGGCGTCGTGGTGCTAAAAAAGAAGTCATCCCAATTGGGATGACTCTACAATGCAGCCCGAGGGATATCTCTTGTGTGTGGGGTTTTTGTCAAGCCCAGCAACCAAATCCAAGCGGGTAGATCCGTTCTATTTTATTGTTAAGGTCACAGGAACAAAATCTTGCAAATCTGAAAAAGATTGCGCTTGCAAAAGCTAAAGTCACCTTAGACACAGCTCCATGGAAACGCTCCATCATCCAAAGATGTTGTCCCAAAGATGTTTTGGTTTTTTTTTCCAAAAAGGCAACTGGACTTTCTTGGGTTTGCGTTTTGCTTCTCCTCCAAAAAGCTGAAGAAGAACCAAAGAAGCTCCTTGGATGAGAAGCGACATGTTTCCAAGGGAAAAAGTCGATGAAAGCCCTTTTGGAAAAGCAAGAGCTGCGGTGGCCCAGTGGCAAGAATGCCGTATTGCAGGCTGACTCTGCCCACGGCCAGCAGTTCGATCCTGACTGGCTCGAGGTTGACTCAACCTTCCGTCCTTCCAAGGTGGATAAAACGAGGAGCCAGTTTGTTGAGAGCAAGAGGCTGGCTTTGTAAACCGCTTAGAGAGGGCTGGAAAGCGGTATATAAGTCTTAAGTGCTATTGCAAGGAAGGAAGGAAGATGGATGAATATTGGAGAGAGGGAGGGATGGGAAGAGAGGAAAAGGAGGGAGGGAGAATAGGAAGGAGGAAAAGGAAAGATAGGAAGGAAGATGGATGAATATTGGAGGGAGGGAGGGATGGGAAGAGAGAAAGAGGGAGGGAGTGAAGGAAGGAAGGGAAAGAAGGAAGATGGATGAATATTGGAGGGAGGGAGGGATGGGAAGAGAGGAAAAGGAGGGAGGGAGAATAGGAAGGAGGAAAAGGAAAGGAAGGAAGGAAGATGGATGAATATTGGAGGGAGGGAGGGATGGGAAGAGAGAAAGAAGGAGGGAGTGAAGGAAGGAAGGAAGGAAGGAAGGGAAAGAAGGAAGGATGAATATTGGAGGGAGGGGGGGATGGGAAGAGAGAAAGAGGGAAGGAGTGAAGGAAGGAAGGGAAAGAAGGAAGATGGATGAATATTGGAGGGAGGGATGGGAAGAGAGAAAGAGGGAGGGAGAGAAGGAAGGGAAGGAAGGAAGATGGATGAATATTGGAGGGAGGGTGGGATGGGAAGAGAGAAAGAGGGAGGGAGAGAAGGAAGGAAGGGAAGGAAGGAAGGAAGATGGATGAATATTGGAGGGAGAGAGGGATGGGAAGAGAGAAAGAGGGAGGGAGAGAAGGAAGAGAAGGAAGGAAGGAAGGAACCATAGTGGTGCAATAGTTAGAAAGCAGTATTGCAGGCTAATTCTGCCCACTGTCAGCAGTTCGATCCTGACCGGCTCACGGTTGACTCAGCCTCCCGTCCTTCCGAGGTGGATAAAATGAGGACCCAGATTGTTGGGGGCCAGAGGCTGACTCTGTAAAGCGCTTAGAGAGGGATGGAAAGCACTGTGAAGCGGTAGATAAGTCTAAGAGGGCTAGTGCTATCTTGGAGACTCACGTGGGCAGCTCATGCTTAAGCCTGCTTGGAGAAGCCCCTGGGAACCAGGCCATCCTATCAAACCAGGGTTCGTGTCCTGGGCTGCTGCCTGTTGCGTGACCCTCCCTGGTGTCCATGGAGCTCAGAGGGGTCTTTCCGTCTTTCAGTGCCCCCTAACCTGCCTCTGCTTCTCTTGAGTTCTGCCCCCCACGGGCCAGTGATAAGCTGAGACGGAGCATGGCATCACGTGTCCTTCTTCATTCCCCAACAGGCCACCTTGGAGAAACTATCCAGGCCTCACCTGGGATCAGTGTTCAGCTCATTCACCAACCCACAAGTCTCCTTGGTAAACGATTCCTTGCTCAGCGACGTGTAAGTATGGGAGCCGGCAGTGACCAGGGTGTGAGTCAAATCAATCTCTCGACCAATGTTCTCTCTGCATCCGTACATCGTATTAAGCCAAGATCTAACACCATGATGGCGAATCTATGGCACATGGGCCACAGGTGGCATGCAGAGCCATTTGTGCAGGCACGCGAGCCCCAGCCAAATGTGCCTGCACTGCACATGCGTTCACCTCCCAGTTGATTTTAGGCCCGTTTGAGGCCATTTTCGCCCTTCTGGAGGTTCGAAGGAAGCCTCTGCAGCCTCGGGAGGCTGAAAAATGGGCCTCTCGGAAATACCGGAAGTGCCAAAACGGGCCCATTTTCAGCCTCCCGGAAACAGCCTTCCCTGCGCTCCAGAGGCCCTCTGGAGGCTGAAAACGGGCACTTCAGGTATTTCCGGAAGGCCCGTTTTTCGGCCTCCTGAGGCTGCAGAGGCTTCCCTCGAACCTCCAGGAAGACGAAAACGGGCTCAAAATCAGCTGGGAGGCGCGCGCATGTGCAGTGCAGGTAAGGGGGCAGGGCGGGGGTGTTGTGTGCGCATGGGCAGGAGGGAGCCGGGGCACATTGCATTCGGCACACCACAACAAAAAGGTTCGCCATCACTGAACTAACAGATAGATGGGCTCACACAGTATACCTCTTTATCCCCATCCTCTTAATCTCCACACGGCTGCATTCCTGTTTGCACGGTAGCTGTTCAACCAGTTTTGTCTAGTGGCTAAGGCACCTGGTGAGAAAGCTGGAGACTGGGAGTTCTAGTT